TGCCCTGGTGGCCGTAGCGGCCCCGGGGCGCTTCGCTGTGCTAGGCCCCCTGCGGGGAGCTGGGGAGGAAGAGGAGGTGACTCCTGTCCCCCCCATCACTCGCCCGCTGCTCTCCACGTCCTCCCTGAGCTCTGCTGGACCTGTGGTCTCTCCACCTGCTCCCCGTGAGCGCCCAGCCCCGGCCCGGGGCCGCCCGGGGACACGCGATGCTCTGACAAGGGCCGCGCTGCCCCCGGAGCCGGAGCGCAGCAGCCCCGCGGCCTCCTCTCCCCAGCGAGGGGACAAAACCTGCCCCGTCAGCACCCTGCTCCTCCTGGCCCCCTTGGGCCTGGCACAGCCTGGGGTATCCCAGCCACGCTGGTGCACAAGAAGGGTGGGAGAAGGAGGGGGTTTGATCACAGGCCCCCGCAGCTGCCAAGGGCAAGCAAGGGGCTGGTGGTTGCAAGAAAGGGCATGGTTCATTCCAGCTCTGCTCCTTCTTCCTTGGCGAGACCTTTACCCTCGCGCTTGTGCTAGCCAGGAAGTGACAAGTGTTTCAAGGCAAGGAGGAGATGGCGAGGAGGGGAAAAGCAGGGGGAAGACGGTGCCCCCCTTCTCTGCACAGAGACCTCCATTACAACCTCTGCCCCGAGAGCAGCCAGCCTCCAAGTCGGGACTCCTCCTGGCCCTTTGCCTGTTCCTCCTCTGGTACTGGCCAGCCTGGTGGGACATCTCCATCCGCGAAGTCCCAGGGGGAGGAGGAGGAAGGACGGCGGAGCGAGGCCAGCAGCGGCCCTGCCTGCTGAGCTGTGTGGAAGGCAGCAGCAGGACACAGAGGGCAGGGTGGGGATGCGGAGGAGCGGCTCTCAGAGGGGTGGGATGGGCTCTTTTCCTTCTCCTCAGTCTGCCTGAAAAGGGGGTCTCTAGCTGATTTTTTGGATCAGCTTCTCATCGGATAGGCAGTAGAGGCTGTTGATGGACAGGTCCGAGATGAAGTGCTCACAGGCTTTGCGGGTGATCTGTTTGCAACCTCGTAGGTCAATGAGAGTGACGTTGGAGATACGTCGCAGGTACAGCAGGGCCTGATCTGTCAGCTTATTGCAGCCTGCGGGGAGACGAGAGAGAGCTGCAGCACCTCCCTGAAGCCAGCGCTACACTCCCACGTCAGGAGCCACTTCTTGACAGCAAATTTGTCCGCCCCGTCCCTCCCCAGCGCAGCAGGGCATGGAGAGCCCTCTACCCACCTGCCATGTTGAGCTCGGTGAGGGAATTGCGTGTGGAAGAGCCCACGGCCGTTAGGAGGTTGGCCGACTGGTCCGTAAGGTGGTTGCAGTGGCTGAGGTCGAGGCGGGAGAGCAGGGGCATGTGGCGGATGATGAGCCGCAGCGTGGCGTCCGTGATGTCCAGGCCGGCTAGCCGGAAGTCGATCATGTTGCGGAGTTTGCTGCGATTGTCCTGACCTGTGGGAGGAGAGGGGACACGCGGCCGTCTGCACCGCTGCCTCGGAGCACGCCGGAGCTGGCAACACCCCCCTGCTTTACAGGCCAGAAGTCGCCCTCCCTCCTCCGGCTCCCCACGGCTTGCGGTGACCCTCCGTGCTCGCATCCGCCCCGGCATCGCCCTGCAGCAGCCCGAGAAACCGCTTACTGGGTTTGTCTGTTGGAGGCGTAAGCAAGTCCCGGATCTGAGGGTCCTTGATTCCTACTGCCCACCGAAGATCGAGGGTCCTGAGAAGGGGGCAGCTGGAGGTACTGAGAGCACAGACCGCAGACCAGGAACAGCCCGCGAGGATGAGGTCTTTCAGGCCTGCCGGGAGAAGGCGGAAAGGTAAAAAGTCAGTCGGGCTTGGTCAGCTCCAAGGCATCCCAAATCTCAGCCCTCTTTATCCCGGCACACAAGGAAACAGCTCCCCTTCCTGCCTGGGGAGAGATGGGGAGTCAGGCTCTGCCAAGAGGCCAAAAACAGCTGCAGGAGGTGGGTATCAACCAACCAAGCCACCCACCCAAACACAATATCAGCTGCTTTTTAGCTGGTGGGATCCAAGCAGCCAAGAGCTCTCCTCCCAGC